AAATATATTATGTCAAGTCCTTCCTATTTTGTAATAGAATAGTTATATTTAACATGATTTAATAATTGATTTGCATAAGCTATTAGTTGATAAACCTTACTAATGGAATTTTGGGCCAATATAACTCTGATTGTGACATTGGATGTATCTGTATGAATTTGGAACCTTAACAATCAATTGGATACTAATAGTGTAGCCATTAACATACGTTTTTTTTATAGCCTTAAATGCTCATTGCACCTCTATTATTTAATAAATCAAATATTGATAATAAAGAAAAATTAGAGCTTTAAAAAATTCTGTAATTTATGTTAAATAATATTTGATGTAGATATGATTAAATTGAATCATAAAAAATAAAAAAAAATAAAAATAAAAATGTATTCTTTTCTAATCACATGATGGCTATATATTAAGAATGTCATTGATTTTAAAAGGATTGGGTAATTTACTAGGGTTTAGGTACAATATAAGTTAGTATCACTCTTACAAAGAATAGAGATATATATTTATCTGCATTGAAGCTCACAGCATAAATATGATATGCTTAAAAAATGTTTTGTAAGTAGTAAAAATAATCAAAAGTGTTATTGTATATTTTTCCATTATTATAATGAAAATTCAAAAAAACTTCTTGAAGTTTAGACTAAAAGTCAATTCTATTACTTGTTGGAAGATCATTGATGCATTTGTAGCTCCAAATGGCATTCTTTTGAATTGAAAAGATCTCTATTCCATTGAAAATGATGTTTTACTCTTATCAACTTTTGCCATTGCTACTTGGTAATACCTTAAAAAATAATTGTGAAAAGAATACATTTTGAGTCTTACAACCTTGTCAATTATTTCTTCCATATAAAAGAGTAGATAATATTCATTTCTTGTTGCAGCATTGAGTTTTTGAAAGTTGATACAAATGCATAGTTTACCTTTTTCTTATGAATGGTTACCATTGATGATATCCATGGCGCCAAATTGATATATGATATAAATTTCGCCTTAAACAATTTGTCTAATTTTTTGGATATCATAGTGGTATAATTAGCATTCATTCAATAATATTGTTGCTGAATCAAAGTCATGATTAGTAATAAATAACTACTATGTTTTATAATGGCTATAGATATGTTCTTTTGATCTTTGTGCAATCATTCTAAAATATCTTGTTGTTTTCAGTTTATCAAGTGCATTTGCATTGATTTTGATATTTTTTGATTCTTCTATAGTTTTCAAATTGACTAATTGGATACGTTCTATGACACCATGTGTCTACTCCTTAATTGGTGTATTTTGTAACACTAGGCACACTAAAACCTTCTTTAATATTGTAGTGTTCAAGATTTCTTTGGAACAATGTGGCAAAATATCTAAACATTATTTGATTGAAGTCAATTAGATTATTAGATGTATTTTGTTTAAGAAGTCTAAATTTTTATTAATATATAATAAAAATATCTCATGCTTTGTTATTAATCTCTAGTTCCATTATCTTTTAACTAAACATCTTGTGTTTTTGGTTTGAACATGCATAATACAAATGTCTATTGGAATTATTATAAATCTTTGTTTCTTAGTTAAGGTTAAGCAATTCTTACTCCAATCATGTGTAGTACTCATGTCTTGTAACCAAGGTCATTGCAATAAGATTAAAAAATAACTATCTTATAGCATCTTGATGATTGCAAAAGTAAAAGATGTCATGATACCATGTATAGAGATTGGTACATTTGTGAGAATTTCCAATAGAATTATTGACACATTGTTCGTCATCCAAACTATAAACAATATAACTTTTGGTGTTAAGAGCTAGAGATACTTACAAATATGATTGGCTATAAAATTTACTTTGGAGCCTCCATTGAATAACACATTAGTTAATTTGTATTGTCTTAACTAAATAAAAATTACTATAATATCTGAGTCTATTATTGTGGTATTTATATCAACAACTTCTAAAGTTATAGTGATTAGTTTATGTAATTGTTGTAGATATGTTTGGAGATCTAGAATGAATTTTAGTAGTTTTTTCAATGTAATTGTGACTTTTGTGGTATCAAAAATTTTGTCCTAAGTTGGCATATTAAGTTGTATTATTTGAAGTTCTTCTTGTATCATCATTTTAAGGTTATATAATTATTCTCAATGTTATTGAAGAAATTATTTTGGGGGTTTTATTCGGTATTCTATTGTCTCCAAATCTTGATCTTTTTATAATTGTGTATTGTGGCAAAAATGGTTGAAACATTTGTACTAATATCCTTCACTTTGGAAATTATTATACTGGCTCTATAAACTTGACCCTTAACCTAAGATAGCAACAATTGTGGTTTATATGTTGGACAATTGTGTCAAAATATTAGATCTATAATTCCAACAACCATTGTTCATATGCAACTATTAATTTGGTTGAAATGTGTTGTAATGAACTTCTTCAGGATATAATACTCCATCTTTATTTTGTAGTTGTTCTGCAAGCTAGTTGTTTGGATTTTGAGGATTCCATCTGTAAGGTAGTAGATGTTAATAATTGCAATTGCTACACATATTAGTTATTATACTAACTTTGGTATTTCATCCATGTCAAGAGATCCTTTGTAGACTCCTCTTTTTCTTCCAAACTTTCTTTTGATGTTTCTACAAGGTCAAGAAGAAGTTTACATTTATCACCTTTCTTTGTGGAGGTATCTTCTTTTGGAGCTATGCCTTCTAATACCAATGGTTTGTTGAGCTATACTTCCAAACAAATAGCCATGTCTATCATTCATTGTGTTTATTGTCTCAAATTAAATGACCATCCCTAGCATGGTCACCAAAATGTTAGCTCAAGGTTTTGCTAATTAGTGGCATGCCTTAAATCAATAATTGTGTTATAACAACACACCTAAGATGTAAATGCTTCCTTTGGCATAGTATTTCTTTGTTACATGATCAAGATAAATATGATATTTTGTCTTTTCTTTGCAATCTATTTCTACACATCAGGCTATGCTTGAGAAGTCTAATGCCTTCGGCCAACTAATTTTGTATTAATGAGCATGCTATTATTGCTACTAATGTGTGGTCTTGTCTATTAGTTATAATCAAAGAAAGCAACATCTTGAAGTTAGGTCAACCCTACTTGCTTGAGGAGTTCACCAATATAGAACAATTAGCCATTATTCATTATAACAATCATTTGTAGGCAATATGGTTGGTTTCTAACAACTTATTATCTATAAGGCAATCAAATTTAAGCCATGTACGCATTAGTTTGGAGGCATAAAACCAATTGACTAAGGACATTGAACTTTTCAAGCATTTTCCAATGGATGAAAATAATATGTGTGAGTGGAAATATCAATTTTCTGAAAATGAATAAAGATATAATTGTTGTAGCAAGTGATATAAACTTGTTCTTAAAAGACAGATTTATACATTTAAATTCATATAGAAATTTACATAAAAGTCTTACAAGTTCTAATTAGCAACAAAAAAAATTAACAAAAGATTAATCTGGATATGGATAAATCATTTAAACATTAAATAAATTGATTTGGATCTATTAAGATAAGAATAATAAATAATCTTTAAATATTTTAGTAATTATAATAAAAAATAGAATTAAAAATTACATATACTTTAAAATATTTAATAAATTTCTTTTTTAAATTATATATATATATATATATATATATATATATATATATATATGCATATGCATCAATACATTTATATTCATCAAAGCAAAATTGCAAGTATTCTAGAAAATATAGATAACGAAAAGAAATTAAATTTGATGAAGTAGAAATTTTAAAAAATACATTACCATCTTGATAATAAATTATTTTTTCAGATTGTTAAAAAGTTGTATTAAAAGTTTAGTTAGAATGTGTAAGATTATTTTTGACACAACCAAGTTATATATACAAATTATCATCACTTTTGAATTTAACAATTTGTAACCTTCATAAAACAATAGTTGGACTGTCCTATCAGAATTACAAATGGTTTTACACATGCATATTTCAACCTAATCAGACTTTATGGTATAGACAAATAATTGCCATAATTATCTTTAAAAAATCTTTAACTTTGTTGTATACTTTTGTCACGATGTCACTGCTACTCAATGCATGTTAGCAAAGGAAATGATTGCTATTTGTAGTTCATAATACCTATTCTAATATCTTATTTGTAGCTGTTAAATACCTGCAAATAGTTGCTGTAATTATCAACATCTTTCAACACTAAAATAAAAATACAGAACATTTAGTGATAATGAATCGTGAATAGTCTCCAAAAAGATGTCTAAAATGAAAAAAATACTTTAAAAAGTACAAACAAATCAAATACTTGTGCATTTAACTTGACACAACGACGTGAATGTAGAATTTAACTGTTTTCAAGAAACATTTATTTAGTACGATCAGAATACTAAAAAATTAAACACACATAAGATAGCAAACAGGGCATTATTTTCATCCTCATTCTGAAGGAAATGCCATTTCTGCTTTACCCCATTTAAATTTCAATCTAGAGTTTCTTAAGACTCCTCAATTGTCGTTCTTCATTTTATCTTGAAGTGTAAGATTACTTCTAGATAAATGCACTCCCAACATTAACACAAACAATCGCAATTGCAACACTAACACCCAATTTATACATATATATTGTAAAATCGGAGAGAGCAATGGTTCAAGTTTAAATGCATGCCATTCATTGAGATAAGTTAAACACAAATCTTAGAGATCACCACCACGACGGCCAATGGCTTGTAATTGGTCACGAAGGACATTTGCTATGAAGAAGTTACACTGAAGGTGCTAAGTAAGCGACGTAAGGCCTCACTCCTCACCAGGGACTATAAACCTGAACAGGAGATTCGATGAATTTCAAAAATCTGTGGAAGAAAAAGGCAAATGTTCCAAGTACTACCTGTGTAGTAAAGTCCTTATCTTGAAATACTACACTCCTTTCAGAGCATTCAAACAGCAAACCAAGGTAGCATACTATCGCTGAGCTGAAGCAAACGCTAGAATTGACTAACTCAGAAACAAGTTACAAAATTACGAACTTGAAATGATCACCATGTTAGTGTACAACTTCAAAAAGTCCGCAGCAAAACTCTTTATTTCACATGCTACTCTCTTTCACCACCTAAACTCTCCTGCCGAAACAAATGATACCTTCGATGTGCCCTAATCACACATAGAATGTAGCCATCTATCTCTTAAGCACGACAGCAGACAAGAGACGCTGACGCACGCCCTGTTCCACAAAGACCAGTTGGTAATTAGTATCGTAGTACCTGTTTGCCTAACTTTAGCCATTTGAATGTTCTTAGGATATTGGCTCCACAAAGCATCTTTTGAAGAGGGCCCTTGGAAATGCTGATGCTGATCAATTCTGTCAAGATACTGTCCACTTGCAATATTGTTCCCCAATCTGAATACAATGCCAAGCCATTCCTGAATCTGACAAAGACTGGGTTCAAAAGACAGAAGATTTAAGGATTAAGATATATTCTACACCAAGAGCACGCCTTCGCTTCAAAGGTTTTATGTCACAGTTGCATCAAAAAGTCCCCAGAATGATTTGTGAAAAGTATCGTAGATTTGCTTATATTAGTCGGCCTGCTTCACTTCTGGGTTGCTCACTGACTCCTCTAGTTCGGAGAGGCTTACGACTCGGTAGCCACGCTTCCTCAGCTCTGGTAAAAGCAGGCGCAAGACCTGCACCACTCAAAGCATGAACAATATGGAACATCCTACAAAGCTTACATTGCCACATAATTTTAAAATAATTTCAAAGCCATCCTCACGAGACAGATTGAAACACATGCAAGTATTTGAAGATTCTCAGTCATTGTTCTGCATCTTGTGATGAATACCAGAGGAGTTTGTGCCCACTGAGGAACACGGTCATGTAGTATAATAACTGCTCCTGGATGGATCTGCAAAATAAACTATGCCTATCAAAAAAGGCTCCAGTATTTGAAGACCACCATGATGTCTATGTGGGCAAACACAGTGATATAATTCCCTAATTCAACAAGGAAGCACTATTTAGAATGGGCACTAACCCGCCAAAGCAGAATCTTTACGAGAAGATGAGCTTGTCGTTCGAACATATGATCCATGGGATACAAAGATCCCAACGCAACTCGATAGCCGTGCTTTTTGCAAGTCTTTACAATCTGCATATTGTAGAAACCATGTCCCTGAAAGCACAAAAAACATGTAAATATGAGAGGCTCGAGATTGTAGGGAGAATTAGCCACTGTCCTGCATCATCAATTTCTAGATTTCTCACTAGGGAAAGAAGTCAATGAGTTGAGATGGAGAAAATGCTTACTGGGCGGAACCATTTCTGAGCTTGACCACTAGAATTGTTCCGATAGTAATCCTTCAGACGATTGTCGCATTCAATAAGCTGCGTCTCAAACTCTTCCTTTACATGACACAAAACCACTTTTAAACCTCAGAGCTAATACCGAAAGTATTGAGCGAAACAAGAGGTGGAACGATTACTGACTAGCGTGCAAGAAAGATCTTTCGCTTCACCAACTTCCGCTGATGCATGTAAGCACGCCCTCTATCTGCTTGGACAGACTGTCCAAACCATAAGAAGTAAAACTAATGAACAAACTGGAAGGAGAAACTGTCATGATACCTTGGAAAGAGTCCAACTGGCAACATCGGCCATCATATGATTCGCCACTTCATGACCTGCTCTTACATCAATCCAAACGTCTGTAAGTTCCAGACACGTGATCTACGAGCGCCTAGAGTGTAATCTGCACCAAAATGGTGATTCCTGAACTCATTACCCTGAAAGTTACCTTTCTGTCCAGGGTCTCTAAAAAAGGTACTGCATAGAGCTTGCATTCCTGATTTAAGGCCCTTAATTTCACTGACGACTAAAAACAACACCAGGTAATTGTTTCTGTAACGTTCTAAGTCGTGAGAAAGTGGAGAGGGCCGATAAAGATACCTTCAGCAATAATACGATCCACTACAAGAGGGCAGCGCGCCATGTGGTTGCCAATCAGGAACCACGTCGCCCTGCAGTTATTCTCCTTTAGGATGTCCAGCAACTGTTTAATGTAAGGCAAGCTCAAAATCAAAACTCAAGAAGTGGAATGGAACATCAGAATCATAAGCCACAGCACCGCTCAGAAAAATAACGCTACCAAAAGGTGAGAAGATGTACCTGAGGAGTGATGTGTGCATGGGGGCCGTCATCGAGAGTTAAAGCAACGAGTTTTTCTGCACTATCGTTACGATGAAATATTAATTCCTCGATCAGATTAACATAACTTTCTACGAATACGTAAACTATGTGCGCCCGGACAAGACGTACCCAGCCAAACCCCTGAATCCCAAGGAAGAAATATCAACCTAGTAGCTGCACTTCTCACCAAAAAAAATTTAAAAAAAAAAAAAAAAAAAAAAAAAAAAACGTTAAGTTGTAGAGCAGCAAAGACAGGATTGATCAGGCCCCACAACCTACGTGTCATATCTTAAAAACTACTGCATGATGTGAACATGGTTGGAAATATGAGATGATGTTTACCTTGTGTGGGTTTAAGATACATAACATGTGGCTGAAGTTTCTGTGTCCATTTCACAATCCACAGTGGGTGGCAGAGTATCCTGCCAAAAACAACTAGCCAGTAAAAATTCAAAGAGATAACACTTTCGCAAAAAGCTTAGACACTGCGTATACTGCGTCCGGAGAGATTGAGCGCCATCCGCTAGTTGCAAAACAAGTGCAGAATTGAAGAGATTCTTCGGGTCTGAGTGATGTAGTGAAAGGGAATCTTACGCGAGGCCCAATAGAAGAATAATTGTAAAAATCAGACTTCCAAGCGCCACAATCACAGCCATCGGCACTATATTGGCCTGTACATTCGCCATCAAGCTAGAATTCACAAGCATGTCTATGCCTCCAAACGCTGAGACGTGCCAGCCTTTAGCACCAACTTGCCTGTTATCTCTACCTGAACCTCGAATCTGCCGGGGTTTACTAGCGTCCTTCCTATCTAAGCTAGGCCTTCGTTGCCAAAGGCTGGTTAAATGGTCCGCAAGTCGTGGACCTGATCCTTGTTGGGACCTAAACCTTGAGTTCCGACTCCTCAACGTCTTTGGCTTGCAATTTCTTTGGAAAATAATCCTCCATCGAGGACTGCTCGAATTAGTAGGAGTAATGGATGTGCCGATCGGAGGGGTTGAAGTTGCCTCGTAAGAAGAGAAAGTGGTCATGATTTAATTGGCACGGGGCTATAGCTCCATGTAATCGGAGATCAGCACGAGATGAACATCAAACACCGACAGCCGCGTCGAACCCCAACTTAGACTGAATCCAGCGCCACATACACCAAAATGTCATTATATATTATTTAAAAAATTAAATCATGAAAAATGCAAACAGAAGAACTCTCCCCGAAATTGAACGGAGATAGGAAGCTGAGGATGATATGGTGCCGAATATCGTAGCGCAAGACTAACAACACCCTAAACATCATACATATCTCACTGGAACCAAATTCAACAAATTTTCTTTAAAATTATTAATCCCCTTTTCCATTCCTAAACTGATGACAAAAATCTGCAACACTCACGCCCTCCTCTCGACCGGAATCTTGAAGTTCACAAGTCTCTAATTATACGTACATAGAAGATACTCCTCTAAAGCTACTATGGAACATAACCTGCGGGTCAAGGGCAGGAAAGTAGAAGAGGAACCATAAGCCACCTCACGGACTATCCCACGAAGAAATGCACTGCAATAGGTGATGTAGCACAGGGATACCGAAAAATTTAGCTAAAAATTAAGTGAAAGTAAAAGTCTGCACAGAAAGCTTGCCAAATTGTCAAGCCTAGTACCCGAAGCCATTCTCCACACTTCAACCCATAAAAAATAAAAAGTTCACAGCGCGGGCTCAGGCCAGCGAAGAGCAGATCCACCCAACAGGCATTCGAAGGTACACAAAACATATCCCCTGGTCGTGAACGTTGGCATTGCACAACTGAAACAATACCAACGCACAACAAGGGCTCTTTGCCTTCATGATCTAAGCTAGCACTTGGAGGATGATGTTCCTAAAGCAATTGAAAAACGCACATTCCCAGCAGAACAGTAACACCAGCGAACAGTGTGGAAATAAATTCCAACATCAAACGCAGATTCAACCCAACTTACCAGTAACTACCAATATAATAAAATAAAAATAAATAAATAAATAAATAAATAAAAACCTCCGTTGAGAACCAATACAAGTATAGATGATAAGGACTAGTAGCTGGTGCATGGTCAGCAAAACCCCATATGTCGGTAGTATATGCATAAATAAACCCATTTCTCATGCTGACAATGAATCATAACCTGGGCAGACAACTCATCTGGAAAAACGGGAAATTCTGAGTCAAACAGTAATAGCACTGAAGACGGCATTGACCCATTTCTAGAATCCAAGCTCATCATCACCGCCACGAGACAACTCAAAACCCACAGTGAAACTTGAGGCAGACCGATAAACGGAGTGACAGACAAACTCATCGTCACTATGCAAACCAGCCCTTCTTACGCAACTCCAGTCACATATAATACCTGCAACACATTCAAACTCAACACCCTTTTCAACATCTGGCATACTGGTTGAAAGGTTCAAACACCAGAAACCCCACTCCGGTGGACAACGATCGAATGTGCAAAATGGAACGAGGGACCTCATCTCGCGGCCTAAGCTACCAAGAAGACTCACCGCCATTCTACCCACTGTATCGATCCACTACATTACAGATAACCTACGAAGCCGCCGCCACGTCCTCAAAACATCATGAAAGCCTCCAATCCCCATGACGCCGCAAAAGCCGAAACTGAGCTCACAACCCAAAACCCAGACCCTAAGTCCTCGAGCCCTTCACTGTCGGTCTACAAAAGCCACCGACTCAACCCATCTAACTTTTTTGAAAAATCCTACCAAGGAACTGCTGCGGAGCCAAGCATCCTTCAAAAGTCGGTAAACGAACATCCCAACCTTCGACGGCACTTATATCAATGATCTCACCCCAGGGCCAGGTTATTGAGATCGGGTTTCGCGTACACTGACCTCACTGCTCCAGTGCCACCGGCTTCATTCCCCACAAACCATGCAGCCACCATCCAGCGAATGGCTCAGGAGCGGGGGCGAGAAAGAGGCCAGAGACGTTGAGCAGATTGAGGAGGTGGGTGGGGTTGAGTTGCGCATGAGCAATCGCCGGAAGACAATCTGATGGATTCGCGCATCAGCCACGTGCACGCGGGCGGTCCCATCGGTGCCATGCCCCCAAAGCTTCCATTTTCTCATATCAGGGGAGCTACTTCCCTTGCCAGATTCAAACATCCCCCCTCACCGCGGCACGGAGGCACTTGGCGGTAAGCCCCAGCTTGTGCAATTCCGGGTATCCACCCAGACCTCGTCGTCAAATCAGGGCCCAGCACGTCCTATTAGTCGGCGAAGGAGACGTCCGTAGCACCTTATCCTGCTGATACTGCGGCGCCGGAAGGGTATCAAGTGAGTATACAGTTCTGTCCCCTCGGCCACGTCGGATGCGATTGTGCTTGCGACGTCGACCACAAGTTGCCTGCAAGAACTGCGAATAAACATAACCGGACCTGTTGACGATTTTATCCAGATGTCATCACATCCGGTTCTGTTTGTGAAGCTGTACCTATGCGATACCACGTGAATTTCTGACAGTGGTCAGATTGATACCCTGACTTGTTCGTGCTATCTTCGAGGCTTTTAATCCACGTGCTGCGGTTATGGGTGGGGTTATGATTAGTCCAGTTTCGATAAAGTTTACTGAAGGAACTTAAGTCGGTTTTGGATAAGCATAAATTAATGTAAAGCTTGACTGGCCGAGATCAAAAAGTTTATAGATAATGCTTTTGCTGAAACAAGAATGAGTTCAAGTAACCAAATCTCCTACTCAGAGGCTCACATTAAAGTAATGAGATGCAAAGTGAAGTGGCATGAAAAGCAACTTTTGATTACATTCTAACAGTACGATAATAAACCTAGCCCGTTGGAATTTTTGTTGTGTCAGTCATGCCTATTTATAATCAAATCAATAAGTACTACTTTGGATGTAAATACAGCTATGTAGATGACACAACATCTACAACCATTATTGTTTTATTTGTTATGGTGTTTTAGATGTTGAATTACATAATGGGTATAAATGTTGTTGAATATGTGTTATAAAGACTAGAATCGGTACTTCTCTAACCAGTCTTTGTTTGATTTAATATTCATACAAAATTGGTTTTGTTGGTTGGTTTTGGTTTTGATTTTTTACTTGATTCCAAAAATGATCTAAAAACATCTTCCCCAAGGCTCTTAAGATTTTGAAGCATTCACAATACATCATCTGATTTCTACATGAATGTAAAGGATATTTTGTATATAATTTTTTATAAACACAATTTTACATAGATAAAACATTTTATATAAATTTACATCTTATGATTGTATCAGTATATTGTTATTTGTATCAAGAGTTGCACCCTTTCAATATATAAAGATTTTATATTCTATATTTAGATATAAAATGTGAATCAAAAGTACTTTAAATTTTGTATCTCTAAAATACCAATTCTTTTAAAACTCTTATATCAATATATTTTTTTTATAAGTTTTTCCTTTCTTTTATCTTCTTAAGAATAAATTTGCTTATAAAAGTAAGAACCATTGTTAAAGGCTGATTTTATAATGTTAACCAAGATCTCTAACAAGCTTATTCTTAATATTATTATTGATTGGATATTCTTACCACTTGGTCTAATGTAAGATTAAAGCAATGGATGAGCCATGACTTGAGCACACAAGCTAAGGTTTCAATGGTTATTGATTATAGTTCTTTGTTGACACAGCCATGGCCATACTACAAAGTTCTAACTTGGCTGAAGATACATTAGGTCTTGAAGTTTAATATAGTTACAAAGAATTACTATGAATGAGAAGTGTAATTATATCATTTATTTATTTACTTATATATATATGCAACATAAGGTAGGAGTGCTTTGCAATGCATGACATCTTATGCAGCATGTGTTAAAAGAGTAAAATGACAAACACATTCAAATTCTAAAAGCAATGTCAAAATAGACATTTGAGAAATGTTACTAACAAATTTAATTGAAGAGCAAGAGATCTTGGATTTCTTTGACTTATATTACACAAAAGAATTTATGTAACTAATCAAATCATTGCCAAATGAGTCCATTTCCATTAGGTTCTTTGAGAGTTACGCCAACATACTACTCAAAATGAAGAAGTTATAAATTAAGCCGTAGAAAAACTTTCTCAAGATGTAATTATTGCATATTTCATTAGAAATAAGTCAGTTGCTAATGTGTTAAAATTTTAGAAGACAAGCTTCGAAGAAAGTGTTGGAGGCCTTACAACCTTCAATAAAAAAATTGAACCCACACAATATCAAAATTATTAAGCCAAGATTTTGCATAGCTATGAAGTCTTACATGGAATAGAAGCTCAAAGTAAAAGTATTAAATCCATTGACTAACAAGCACAAATTTGTTTCCATTGATTACTTAAATCTCCATATTTGCTCCTAATATTGTTTATATACTAGATCAAAGGTTGTATAGTCTTAGTCAAGGCTGAAGACAAATAATAATAATCATAGGAAAAAACAAAGCCATCTGCTAAGCCTAAAAATACTAATACAATTGCAACTTTAAACTTTAACAATCATCAACCATATATGTCTATATTCTTGAAACACAACAATCATAACTTTGCAAATACTGAATTTTATTCTTATTATTCTTTATAGTAACAACCAGAAAAAATCTTTAAAAGAATTGAGAAACAACAACATGTAACCAAAGTAGCTATGAAAATCTAAAAAAACCTAACACTAGGTTTAATACAAGCCACAATTAAAGATCTACAAGTCATAACTATAATTCTTCACTAATCTTTTATAATAACCTAACATACTATCTTTAATTCAATATTGATATTTAATTAGTTTCTTATATAATCACAATCTTATCAAATTTTGTGGATAGTCCTAAGCTAAAAAGACATTAGAAGTGTTAATAGCTTAGAAGCCAATTTAAGCAAAGTGTCACCATGCAATGGCTATATAGCATTGTACTTGAAAGAACAAATTATTCTTATTGTAGACTTAAATCAAGACTCAATACAAAATAGCAAAGATCATATGTTATTATATTAGCTACATGTTGGAACCATATGCCAAAGGCTCTATTATACTAAAAGCAACAATGCTAATACTATAAGAAAGTAGTGCCAACTAAAATCTTAATTCCTAAAAAAACATAAGAATTATATTGGAATCAAAAAGGTTATCTAACAAAGGTCAATTTCTTGCAATAAAAATAAAAAACTAACACAATAGCACCAACAAATGAGTTAGTTAAATTAAGAGAATTTGTGAACATTCATAAGTATTACAAAGAAGAAACAATTTTTTAAATACCTTATACAATCATTATAATAGAAATAATTATTTGAGACTCTTCATTCTTAAATTCTTAGATCTTATAAACTGCAATTAGTCGAAATTAGTTGATTTGATTAACCTTAGAATTATAATATAATAGATCAAATCTCTTTAAAAAAAATATAATAAGGCTTTTATAATTGAAAAATTGGATTATCAAGGTTAAAATCCTTAAGGACTACAAACCTCAATTACATTATATATTAAGGTGCCTTTTCTAAGAATACAATGTTTCATATAATTTATATAGATCATAGATTCACATTAAATATAAAGAGATTTCATAAGCCAATTCTGTCAAAAAATCTTCATATATGTGGATTTTTTACAATTAGACTAATAAAAATGAATAAAAAGAATAGAATCCAATGATATAGAGACTTTGGATCCTAAAAATTAGACATGTCTCTTGCAAGTTGGATACATATTAGAGATCCTATTAAATCTTCTTTTATAGCTCATAATTAGATAGTATAAATATAGAGGCAAGAGTCAGGCCTTCTTCACTCTTGTTAACTATTTTCTTATTTCTAGTCTAGTTTCAAGATCATTTTAGTTTCTTCTTGAATATATATATATATATATATATATATATATATATATAAGTATTTTTACCTCTTTTTTTTTAATATTTTTTAAAAAAATATTTCACTTGATTATTTACATTCTTTAAGTTTCCATCCAAATCACTTTGGTATATACATGTATTTTTTTATTTTTTAGTAGATGTTTAATCTTAAAATCTTTGCTTTGATGAAAACAACTTTTGCACATGCAAGACTTAATAGACAATACGAATGAAGTAAAAGATTATTAGAAAATTAGTAGAATTATTTTAGAAATAAAAATTAATTAAAAAAAGAATTTTTTGCCTTGATTTTTCTATGGTTTAGTTGGTAATTTGATTTTTGGTCATTAATTATAATCTTAAGTTATTAAAAAAAGAGTTATGTATTTTGATAAACTTGAAAAAAAATTAATTCAAATTAATATCTTTATTATTAATTTAGTGATACAAAAATAAAATATTCTATTTATTATTAAGTTTTATTCAATAAAAAAGACACATGGTCTAAATCCCATTTCTATACAAAGATAATATTAATTTTAGTTTATGTGGCGCAAAAGTGAAAAAAATGATACTTGATGGAGAAAAATTAGTCATAATCTCTCTCTCTCTCTCTCTCTCTCTCTCTCTCTCTCTATATATATATATATATATATATATATATATATATATATATACTGGTTTTGTAATTATTACCAAACTTGTTCCAATTGGAATTGAAATGTTTTCTAATACAAAGTAACATTAAATTTCTATAATTAAAATCTTTAAAAATCCTTTACTTGGCATTAATACATTTTTGATAAAATTCTTCTTTCTAAATTCAAATGTTTTTGTAAGATTAGATTGTTGTTAAATAAAATTTATTGATAAGACTAAATGAACTCAAAGGAAGAAGTTTGTGTTTGAAAATGAAGTATGGATCACACTTTATACTAGAAGGATAGTTTGAAAGAAGCATATCAAATTTAGAAAGTTTTGTTGGAAATTTATCAAAAAACAATTATGAAAACCATTTGTATCATACATATTTTATACTCAAAGAGAAAATGATTCTTAAATAATTAAAGACATACTTAGTTTAAAAAGTGACAAATACATTAAATAGAATACTAAAGTATCTTAATATATTGTGATCATATGAAGAAGGCTATATGACCTTATTTTAATAGTTGCTACATATTTTTAATATTTTTAGTTTTTCCTTTGAATATAAAAAATTTAAAAGTTTTTTTAAAT